TGAAGCGTATCCTGCCCGGGCTGTCAGGACATCATGCCATAAACGCGTGACAAGCGAATGATCAAGGTCATAACCCCTGTTGAGACCTTCTTTGTGCTGAATGGCCACCCATCAGCCTATGATAGTCCCCCTTGCCATATACCCCGCCGTTTCCCCAAGGCTCCTCACTTGTGCTGTCTCTCGAACTCAGTACACGTCCTATTTCCAACTACCCTTCTGTTTTGCATACATAACACTTTCCTCTGGAATAACCTTCCATTAACTACAAGATCACCAGACAATCTACATACCTTTAAGAGAAGATTATGCCTTTATATGAATGCAGACTCGATTAAACTTTTATTTCTCTCATCCTTTCCGGACAAATTTCTTTATGACACTGAGAAATGGCCATCGGGAATTTAGGACGCCGTCATTAACTATCCGTATCTGCTCACATTTTCTTCCTTTGTGAGTCGTATCGCTTCCTAAGATCCCTAACCAAAAATGTTAATTTTTCCAATTTTTCAGTTCATGCATCGTGCCCTCACAGAATGCGCTCCATCGACGCTCTTGGCGGGACCTTCGCTATTCGCCATATACTAGTAGTCTGATCGCATCTGCCTTACCCCATCATCGGATGGACTCGGATGAATGGAACCGACCGCATCTGGGTTCCTACCGCCTCGAGACTGGTTTTCAATTTCACCACTTATTTGCCTTATTTAAGGCCACATCCAGGCCTGTCCTGACTAACCCGCCTACTTACCCCCCTTCATGAAATCCGTTATACAGTGTCATATACAACTAACAATTATTTCTGCCCTGGCGATATCCGACTGTAATCCATTATATACCGTCCCATGCAGGCCAGTCCTGTTCGCATTATTTCTGTTATTGCTTTTTTATTGAGAGTTTCTTTTCTCCTGTAAAATCAATCTTATCATTTTTAATTTTCATGTGGAGTTTTTTCACCCCTCGCTAATCATTTTTCTTAACAGACTACTAATTAAGAAACTATGAATTGCACTTTGTACAGATTTTGCCTACCTCGTCTAAAATTCGCATGCAAAGTTGCTTTTCCTTGCTTTGACGGGACCCTGACGGGCCTTTAATAAAAATTATTATTGTCATTATTATACACCTACTCTGCATCTCAATGTCCTTTTTCCAAGTACTTTCCCCTTAGCATTTTGTCTGAAAGCGTGGGCTCCAAAGACTATTCTTTTGCATTCAACTCCGGAATGTTTTACTACTGCTCTTAGGGTCCATCCTTTGTTTAAAACCCTCCAACTTTAACTTTGTGGATGTTGCCATTATGAGCACCTACACAGACATACAAATCTCCGGCTTGCGTCGACAATGTTTCCAACACAAAATAGCCCAATTTTAAAATTCTGCTGCAGTGTTGATAATTCAATCAGAATTTAGACAAAACATTAATGGCGCATTAATAGTGTCCTCCGGATGCTAAACAATGCCACCATTAAACTCAGCAGAAACAATTTCCGAATTGGCATTTACGTAAAACTTGATTTCAAGTTCATTGCACTGCATCCATTCTCGCCATCCGACTTAAAATATGAAGTTTACTGATTGGCCCAGTGAAATATCACAGCTCATGTCGTGAAAAACAGATTCTTGTCAGAGAGATCTGAAGTCAATTTAATTTAAAAGAAGATTTTTCGAGCGCATTCGTAAGAAGAACAGGCCAATAACGAAATTTATGCCTCGTCTAGGGGAAGCGACAAACGCATTAAAGTGTTCCCGTATACGCTAAGCTCATGCTGGCCGTTTCTAGATGCAGCAAAAGAATGATTCCGGGATCGCTTCACTACTATAGTTAACCGAAGGAAAGACCTATATCAGTTTTCCTTGACAGTTTTCTCAAATTACCTTTTCCGGGTTTCCTTGCAGTTTTCAATATTAAACCAAAGAATTTAATGCAAAACTATGGACATCGGAATCCGCCAGAAAACGAGTTCCCACCAACTGCTTCAAAAACAGAAAAAGTGTCTTTAATGTCTTATTCGCCTTGTGTAAATGAACCTTAACATACATCACAGCTGTCACAGTTAGTCGGCAACTTCGACCTCTGACTCAGCATTACTCTTATCTCCTGACGAGGTCTCCTTCACACATAAGTCAGCCCACACATTTAAGTCTACATATTTTGGGGCCCCAAAATGCCTGGAAGTCCAGACGAAACCACAGCAAACAATAGATAGTGTTAAAATGCACTCGGAAATAAAAAACGCGGTATGCTTGGAAAAATGCGCTGGTACAGTTGAGTTGTTTTGTTTTAATTTTCTTATCCTTTTATAAAAAAGTAAAAAATTACATTCTCATCACCAAACCTATTCAACGCATCTCATCAGAAGATACCCTTGGAATATTTTTTTAAATATGTTGTCAATTGTAGGACCGTGTTCGTATATATTCTCACATTTAATTTATTGTGCAAAACAGGATATTTAGCATTTCTGGCGCGAAGAGCATACTTAATTTTAAAGAAAAATCAAGCCGGCAAGCTTAGAGCACTGAGCATAACAAAACGCCGACTTCACTCTACGATATATATTAGCGGGTATAAAAATCGCCCTAGACCAAAGCACTGGATACAAAATCAGAGTTGCCCTAGTTTCTATATTCAAGCTGAACAGACGCAGGAATATATATATATATATATATATATATATATATATATACATGCGCGTTAATTTCGTTTTTGAAGAATAGCCCTTCAATATTTTTCAGACCAGGGCTCGCACTTTTATTTGTGATTGAATTCGGCCACCTCAAGTAGCCGACCAGTGATGGAAAATCAACTAGAAGAATGCAGTTTTTCATAGATTTCTCTTTATTTTTCTGTGACTTCTTTTGTCGGCAATTCTGTTGCACAACATATAGTGATTTAACAAGGCGTTGCCTTACTTGAGGAGAGTTGGGCAAGGGACCAGGCATTTGGAGTTCGTTCTTTATCTCAGAGGTGTCTTTGAAACATGCTGGAGCGTTGTAGGTTTGTGGGTCTCCAGTTAAAAATTTGAAAAAGCGAACCTATGATTGAGAGAGTCTATATGTGGTTTTAAAACTAGACACTCTGTACCATCCTATAGGTTGATACAATAAAGCATAGATAAACGTTCGCTGACAATTTGAATCTTTGCTTCGAAATAAACTAGATTACTCTCTCTATCTTAAAAAATGGTGATATAATTTCAGCAACTGCTGCTGAGTAACTGTCAATGGTAGCGGTGAATCCGAAATTACTCACTTGCTGTCCGATGAGCGTTTGAGGAGATTACCACTGAAGGGCAGCCGC